AAAAAAATTAATAATAAAAAAAAAACCTACGTCCATTCGGAAGACAATATTGTTTTAATCGTATAATAACATTTTTGGTTAGTGGACACCACCTCGTGAGCTCCCTCCGGCTCCCCCTCACATCATCCTCTGCTTAAGCATCTGCTGATGCTGCAACTGCAGCATACGCCGCCTCGCTTGCGACTCCCTCAGCTCCTCCAGCTCGGCGACCTTGATGACCTCGTGCCTTAATTTCTCCAGCCGGCTGTTGAGGTTCAGCTGGTAGAGCCCAAGCTCGGCTCGGTGCTTCACGTAGTTCCTCTCGGCGCACTGCAACTGATAGCAGTACTTGGCCGAGCTGCTCAAGATCTTGATCTTGGCGGCGAACTTTTGGTGCGAGAGCTCGGGCACGATTCTCCGCAGCTCCTCGAACATTCCGCGCAGGTGTATGCGCCGCTTGCGCTCCATCGTGTTGTGCTGGTTGCGCTTTTCGTTGCTGATGGCGTCGTTCTGCAGCCGCTTGGTGTTGCGCTTGCCGCCCCTGTTCGCGACTGCCCCTCGGCCGGCCACGACTCCCTGGTAGTAGTTCACGTTGCTGGTGCTCGCTTGTAGCTCCTGGGCGTACATGGCGGCAGCAACAGCCGCGGCGCGGGCATTGTTGGCGGGGGCACGTCTGCCGCGGCCGCCGTTCGTGGGTGGGCGGCCTCGGGCGCGCGGGGCACGCTGGACTTGCTGGGGTGGTTGGGCCGGCGTCGTCGCTGCTCTTTTTCTCCTGCCCTGGCGCGTTTGGTTTGCCGCCGCCGTCGTCGTCGTCGTCATGGCTGTTGTTTGGTGAGCGAAGGTCTGCGTGAAGTTGTGCTGGTACAGCACTTGCTCGTCATCGGTCGGTTGGTTGGGCAGGGTGCCCTTTTTCTCGCACGAGACGACGTCGATTTCCTCGTCTGCAACAAGAAACAAAGGAGGAGCGCGGCTTTGAGTTTATTTCGCAATTAAACGTGTTTGAGTTACTTTTATCTACAATCGCTACACGGGTAGGGGGGCACGCACGAGCGGGAAAAAAAAGAAGGTCGAATTAAAGAGCGAGAAAGGGGGAGAGAAAATTACACTCCGATAGCGTGCGTGTAAAAAGAGAAAGGAAAATGAGGGTTCGTTGGCCCGAATTTTCCTATACAGGGTGGGTGGGTTGGCGCGAGGGTGGATTATCTATAGAGTTTTCCCCAAAGTGACCTTGGTAGGTTTTGTCCCCCCTTTTTTTTCGGCCGAGAGGGGGGGGGAGACACGTGCATGCACCACCAGTGCAGACCCGAAGGGGAAAACACGATCGAGACCCTCCGCGCGTACATTTTTCATGCGAAGGAGCATTAACGCCGGGCTCGTTGTCCTACACCAAGAGGGGAAAATAACGTATACGAGACAACTTTTTCTCGAGTTTTACTATGTGTGTATGTATATACATATTATATATACACACCACAGGCGCGCAGCAGAGGAGCCATTAACGTTCAGCACACGCGTCGCCCGGTGATGCCGATACATTTTATTATTTACATCCGCAGTGCTCGACACTTTACTTTCTGGAGGACGTTTATAGGGTATACACTATTGGATTGGGCACTTTTACTTTGCTTCGCGATTCTGCGTTACTACTTGTAGTACTTACACGTATACGCGTCAAAGCCACGAGTCAGTAGTTGGTATAGAAAAGTTTTATCGGATACCCAAATGTATACATACATAAAATACATTACGTACGGGGCGATCGGTAGTAGACCTCATTTTATTGTGCAAGGGAGTTTGACAAAAGTAATTTTCACACACGGTACAGATGACATTGGGCACATGGGATGGTTGTACACCACCTACGCAGGGAAAGAACCAGCAGCAATAACGCAGTGTTATACGGTGAAATTTAAATTTATCCCTTGCAGCGGAGGCTGAGAGAGTAGTTGGGGGGGGGGAGGGCACTTTAATGGCCTCGGAAGGAAGTAGAGGAGAGGAGCCAAGCAAGAAAACAAACGTAAAAGGCACAGAGAAAGACGAGGAGGCGGCGGCAGCAGCGAGAGTTATGAAATCGGCTTAAAAGGAAGCGGAAGTTGGAGGAAGTGGGGGGAGCGAAACTCGGAGGAGAGGAAAGAGAGAACGACGAACCCGTGCACGGTTATCTCTCTTCAGTCGAGCTCCTCCTGCGTGTGTTTTATAACACCGTGCGCTTGGCGACGGGCCACGGACAGTCCTCCCCCCTCCGGGAGGGGCGCGAAGGTTTTCCCAGTCTATACCTGTACTCTCTTTGCACCGATCTTACTATTTCATCGGAGACGGGACTCAACCCTCGGGTTACACTCGCACACACACGGAGAGAGGATCGATGCACGAGGAAGAGAAAGCATATTGCACACCAAAGGCTTGTTGGCGCGCGAGCATCAGGTGCCGTGCATCGGGGAGGGGAAGTGCATCCGCATTGCGCCGGGAAGGGAGATGAAACTGCCACTCCACGCCCCGTTTTCCCATTTCCACGCACGCGAGTATAACGTAGAGAAGAGATTTTTACACCAGTCGATGCGCTGCGTCAGTGTTTGCCGCAGTTACGTACAGATATACTCATATTATACGTTTGAGAAAGGAAGAGACAAGAAATAGTAAAATTTCATCGGGTGGTAATGGCGTGGGCAGCAAACGATGCTCGTTTCAGCGAAACCGAGGGAGCAAAGTAAAGAAGCTAGCATCGTTTGCATTATATACATGCTCCATCGACCTAATTGATGCAAATAACACGAACAGGGAGAAGAAAAAAGAGAGAGAAAAAAAAAAAAAAAAAGAAGCGGCGGCAAATTATCGCCCGGCACTGCGTCGACGGGGAGACACGACTCGTCACGTGTGCCGAGGGAGGTATCGGCACGTGCACGCCGGGCACGCAATATGCCGCGTTCGTCGTTTCACCCCCATTAGATCTCGTTAGCCACGGCTAATGAAGAGACCGAAGCAACTTTTCCCCGGCACATGTATAAAGATCTGAGCCGAGCTTGTACACACGAGGGAGAAAATGAAAAAGTTGTCGAGCCTATATACACGTGTTGGTGCATTAATAAAAAAAAGGGGGGGGAGGTAGAGTCTCCGTGTAAATGTAGGTGATTCGCGTCAGTCTCCAGCGACCTTGGAGAGGGTCAGTGTCCGTCTCGCTCCGCAGGCTACTTCGGGGCTGGCATTCGCGACACGGCGCATGTGCGCGAGGAAACCGATCGAAGCCGGCGCTTCTTCAGGCGTGGGTATACAGACTTGCCTTTTTTCCCTCCCTCTTTCCTTGGTTTTCTTTCGTTTTTTCACGTCTACGAGTTGGCGGGCTGCGGCATTCCACCGGGGACGTCGATACCTATACGAGATTTCTCTCGGAGCTTGGGTTAATTTTTTTTGCACTTTTTCCTACTCGACATCCGCGGTCACCAATGGTAAAAAAAAAAGGGCCATTGGAATCTTTTAATCCCAATAGCTTGGGAGTCCACAAGAAAAAAAACATACCGGTCACACGCGGTGTATCAATGAAATCTGCCAGAGTCGCGTGCGGCCGACACAACGTGTTTGCAGCAGCTCGTTACACACACATATATATAAGTACGTACGGAAAAGAGAGACGCAGCGGGCGGATGGAGCGCGTGGGCGTGTAACGCACGTGGGTGTCCCGAGTTGGCTTCCTCGAAGAGGAAACGGGCGGGAGGGAAAAAAAAGGAGACCGATCTTGCTTTGCATCGGGGCAAAGGTGCGGGCGTTCGGAGGGCCTATGGGCACACAATTGGCTCGACAGAAGCGGGAAGTAGCCCACTTAACGAAGGCGCGTTAAGCCGCAAAAATTACAAATCCGGAGTGGTTAACGCGAGCAACAGAGGCGTGCCGAGCCCTCCCTCCGCACACGAGAACAGATAACGGCAGTCCATATTATGTACACAGTTGGCGAACGACGTATACCTGTACGCGTGGGCTCTTGTACTTGGTTTCTCGAGACTGGGCCCAAGAAATAGGAGGCTCCGCACGCAGCCTCCCATAAGGATCGCTTTTCGATCTCGATCGCGTCTGCTTTCTCCTATCTGCTCTCTCTCGTGTGCGAGGATGGCTCTCTAATTACAGGGGTGTCTCCCGCGGACAAACGGGACGAGAGATTTTCGAGAAACGAAGCGGCGAGCTTTTTTTTTCGATCTACGAATCTAGTTTCGATTTTTTTTTTTTTTTTTTCAATCATGGATACGGCAAAAGGTGCGCTGTAATTATGGAAATCACTGGTTAATGGGGGGACCGAGAAGCACCGACGAGAGTTGGGTAAATTATTTAATATAAAAAAAGGGCGGATAAATTTGTCCACGTATAATCAGTGGACCTCTTTTTTTTTTGGTCTGCATCGAGAGAGAGAAAGTAAATATCCAGCAAGACGCGCGTTGATTTTGTCATAATTACACTACAAAGCACGTATTATATCTGATAGGGGAACGACGCAAGGCCAAGGACAAGTAGCCGGCCGGCAGTTGGGAGGCCTGTGTATGTGTACTGTGTATGAAAAAACAAAAAAAAAAAAAAGTTTCTCACACGCACGCACGATGCATGTAACTTTATGCACGCACAAACGCCCGGAAAGTCTTTTTTTACGATCGCGCGGCTCGTTTACGAGCTGAATTATATGCACCCATTCGTCAAAGACCAAACAGCTTGGCGCACGTGTGTGTGCGCGAGCTTCGGCGTGTAAACGACGGAGCTTGGGAATTGAAAGATTCTCATACACACGCGTCGAAGGGGGGGGGGACACAGTCACCCTATATATAGACACATGTACAAAAACACACAGAGTTGAGAGAGAGAGAAAAAGAAGGAGATGGTAATCCACGCGACGAGAGGAAGGGGATGGATGAGCGTACATTAACACACTGACTCACGGAAAGTGCCAATTGGCCTTTGTCATCCCGATGTCCTCCCACTGCAACTCTCTATTGTAAATGCAACTTTGCTCCTCATCGTTTGGCTGCGTGGGAGGGGGTGGGGCTCGTTTTTAATTGCAACGAGTAAACGTGTATACTCGACACGACAACGTCTGAGAATTTTTCGACCCTCGCGAGTCACCGTTTAACTCCCGGCGACATCGTGGACGACGATTTTATTATGCAACGATAACAATGGCAATCGCCGCGAGTGCAGTTTCCACCTAAACGCCGCGGCTTAGAAAAAGGAGCATAAGAGCACACGCAACTACACACGAAATTGCAGCGTTTTGCATTACAATTAAAAAAATAAAGTTCGAAGCGCGGTATGGTAGCCTTTCAGCGGCGAAAAGGGGAGGCCCGGAGCTCTCATTCAATAAACCATCTACCGGTATGAAATATCCCTTGTTAGCAAAAAAAAAAAAAAAAAAAAAAAAAAAAGTAAGAGAAGCGAAAGACGCGCGAACAAAGAAAAGTTTCCAAGCGCACATGCCATGCTGCCCATCTCCCTCTCTTGCTTCCTATGTCAGACGAGGCCCTCCCTATATGTATATACGAGCCAACCCCGTGCAAGACTTGTCCCCTGTGTTACTCCCCCCGCGAGTACACACGCACACTGCAGTAGTTGCTCTAAGCCGCGCTTGCGTATCGAAATCGAGTCGTCTCGCGAGATCCAACGGATACGCGTGGTGGTGCACATATGTATGCGCGCGGGCCCGAAGAAAGGAAAGAAAGGCCCCGGGTGCTGCGTGTTCTCCTTTCACGTGAGAAGACGAGGGGCGAGAGCCGACAGGGGAGGAGAGCGCGCCTCGGGTCCCATGAGGTTAAGGACGGAGTAGGGCAAGCATTGTACAAAGACCGGGGGCCTCGGAGTTTTGGGAACCCCCCCCCCCTCCAAAATGCGCGAGCCCTGTAAAAAAAAAAAAAAAAGAACAAAGGGCCCAAACATACCCCCCCTTTTTTTCCTGCGTGTGCGTGTACTTTTC